ACCACTGCACCTGGCCTCTACCAAAAATTTAAAAATCAGCTGGGTGTGGTGGTATGTGCCTGTAGTCCCAGCTACACAGGAGACTGAGGTGAAAGGATTGCTTAAGCCCAGGAGATTGAGGCTGCAGTGAATCAAGATCATGCCACTGCACTCCAGCCTGAGTGACAGAGCAAGAACCTGTCTAAAAAAAAAAACCTAAAAACAAATACAAAAAAATCCTATGCTACAGTCATACAACAAAATACTACATAGCTGTTAGCGTAAAGCAGACTTATGAGTAGTGTACATGGAAAACAAAACAAAAAAAGTAGTGTACATAAAAAATGTTCATACTGTATTAAGTGAAAAACAGAAAGCTGCTTTGCATAATAGCATGTATATGACCACGTTTTCTTTTTCTTTTTGTGTTTTTGGAGGCAAGGTCTTGTTCTGTTGTCTAGGCTGTAGCACAGTGGTATGTTCCTGACTCACTGCAACCTCCGTCTCCCAGCCTCAAGCAATCCTCCCACCTCACCCTCCCAAGTAGCTAGGTCTATAGGTGCATGCCATTATACTTGGCTAACATTTTTAAAAAATTGGCCAGGCAGGGTGGCTCACACCTTGAATCCCAGCACTTTGGGAGGCTGAGGCTGGTGGATCACAAGGTCAGAAGATTGAGACCATCTGGCTAACATGGTGAAGCCCCCATCTCTACTAAAAATAAAGAAAATTAGCCCGGTGTGGTGGTGCGCACTTGTGATCCAGCTGCTCAGGAGACTAAGGGAGGAGAATCACTTGAATCCAGAAGCTGGAGGTTGCAGTGAGTCAAGATAGCACACTGCACTCTAGCCTGGGCAACAGAGCAAGACTCCCTCTCAAAAAAAAAAAAAATTGTAGAGACAAAGTCTCACTGTATTTCCCAGGTTGGTCTCAAACTCATGGGCTCAAGGGATTCTCCTACCTTGGCCTTCCAAAGTGCTGGGATATGGGCATGAGCCACTGTTGTGACATGACCTCATTTTCTAAAAAGTAAGTTTGTATATGCATAAAGTCAACAATATTTATACCAGATAACAATATTTACACCATTTCTAGGTAATGAATAATCACTTTCTGCATTTTTTATTGTTTACAACTTTTTTTTTTTTTTTTACAAAAAGCATACCTGGGCCTGATGCAGTGGCTCATGCCTATAATCCCAGCACTTTGGGAGGCTGAGGTGGGTAGATCACGAGGTCAGGAGTTCAAGACCAGCCTGACCAACATGGTGAAACCACATCTTTACTATAAATACAAAAATTATCTGGGCGTGGTGGCATGCACCTGTAATCCCAGCTACTTGGGAGGCTAAGGCAGGAGAATCGCTTGAACCTGGGAGGCAGAGGTTGTGGTGAGCCGAGATTGTGCCACTGCATTCCAGCATGGGCGACAGAGCTAGACTCCATCTCAAAAAAAAAGAAGAAAAAAAAAGCATATAATATTCTTTTATTCTTTTTCTTGAGACAGAGTCTGCAGTGAGCTGAGATCAGCCCATTGCACTCCAGCCTGGACAACAGTCTGTCTCAAAAAAATAAACCAAAAATACCTTAAAATTATTATTTTCTTTTCTTTTTGAGATGGAGTCTCGCTGCGTTGCTCAGGCTAGATAGAGTGCAGAGGTGTGATCTCAGCTCACTGCAACCTCCGCCTCCTGGGTTCATGCGATTCTCCTGCCTCAGCTTCCCGAGTAGCTGGGATTACAGGAGCATGCCTGGATAATTTGTGTATATTTAGTAGAGACGGTGTTTCAGCTTGTTGGTCAGGCTGGTCTCAAACACCTGACCTCATGATCTGCCTGCCTCAGCCTCCCAAAGTGCTGGGATTACAGGCATGAGCTACCTTGCCTGGCCAATTATTCTTATTTTATGTATTTTTCTTTTTTTTAAGAGATGGGGTCAGGCTTTGTCGTCCAGGCTGGTTTCAAACTCCTGGCTTCAAGCGATCTTCCCACTTTGGCCTTCCAAAAGAGCTGGGACTATAGGTGTGAGCCACCACATCTGGCCTTAAAATTATAAAACACATTATCAAAAGCCATACATGTTATATATATATATATATGCTAATTGGGGGGGAAAGAACCTTCAAGCAAAGAATTTATAAAGAGGGAGAAAGTGTGTCCCTGACCCCACAAAATCCTATCCTTAGAAGTAACCAAAGCCGGGCACAGTGGCTCATGCATGTAATCCAAGCACTTTGGCTAAGGTAAGCAGATGATCACTTGAGCCCAAGAGTTAATGACCAGCTGGGAGACATGATGAAACCCTATCTCTATTAAAAAAAAAAATTAGGCAGGCATGGTGACATGCGCCTGTAGTTTCAGCTACTAGGGAGGCTGACGTGCGAGGGTCACTTGAGCCTGGGATGTTGATGCTACAGTGAGCCTTGATTGTGCCACTGCACTCCAGTAAGATTGCGTATCCAAAAAAATAAAAAAGAAGTAGCTACTGTTAATGTTTTGGTCCTTTCAGATATTTCTCTTCATATATACAAATATAAATGCATACATATAATTTCAAGTTTTCTCTAACGTGGGATTACACTAAATATATTTTATATACAACTTAAATTTTCTCACTCAATAATATATCTGTATGTATCTTCTTCCATGTTAGAACGTTTATATTTACAGCACTCTTCTTAAACACTACCTACTATTTGATGTTATTGTTTGGATTGCTTTTTTAGTCAGAAAAGATGAAGCTATTTCTGTTAAAATAATAACATAAGGATCCAGGTGCAGTAGCTCACATCTGTAATCCCAATGCTTTGGGAGGCCGAAATGAACGGATTGCCTGAGCTCAGGAGTTGAAGACCAGCCTGGGCAACATGGTGAAACCCTGTCTCTACTAAAATACAAAAAATTAGCTGGGCGTGGTGGCTTTCACCTGTAGTCCCAGTTACTCGGGAGACTGAGGCAGGAGAATTGCTTGAACCTGGGAGGCCCTCTGCCTCCCAGTTGCAGTGAGCCGAGATCATACCACTGCACTCCAGCCTGGGCAACAGAGCGAAACTCCATCTCAAAAACAAAACAAAACAACAACAACAAAATAAGGAACTATGCAACCCATTAGTCTTGAGTGCCCCCTACTGGGAGCTCTTCACTGACATTAACAAAATGCTAAATTACAATTAATTTAAGCAAGAAGTAATTCAAACATGGGACACTATACTTTTCAGCATAAGGCAAAAATCTGGAAATTCAAAGAAAAAAGTCTGATTTGAAATGATTTTATTGGGGAAGTTCTTTATTTATTTATGATGTATTACAAGCATGTGCTAAGGTCTCTCTAATTAAGGTGAGGACAAAGAAATCAAGCTAAGCAGTCTGACCTTCTTACATCTTACTCCCAGACAAGTGTGTATATTTCCATCAATGGTGAGATGCGGTTTCAGAATGGGAAGTAACGGTAAACAGGCAGTTAAAAAGGAGTAAGGCAAAACTTAAAAAATATAGATAGATAGATAGATAGATAGATAGATAGATAGATAGATAGAGGCAGGGCGTGGTGGCTCATGCCTGTAATCCCAGCACTTTGGGAGGCCGAGGTCGGTGGATCACAAGGTCAGGAGTTCAAGATCAGCCTGGCCAAGATGGTGAAATGCCATCTTTACTAAATATACAAAAAAATTAGCTGGGCATTTTGGCAAGCGCCTGTAATCCCAGCTACTCAGGAGGCTGAGGCAGAGAACTGCTTGAATCTGGAAGGCGGAGGCTGCAGCTAGCCAAGATCACAAACCACTGCAATCCAGCCTGAGTGACAGAGTGAGACTCTGTCTCAAAAAAAAAGAAATTCTCTTCACTTCTGAGCCTATATTTACTTCTTTCCTCACATTTCAAATCTTCAAGAGTTATTTAGCTCTACCTCAAATCATCTAGGTTGTTTACACTATGTAATGTTTAAATCCCTCTGAATCTGTGATTATATATTACATGATAATCAAAGACTCAGAGTAAAAGAAAACCAGGGATGTTGGAAGAGTTGACCTGAAAAACATCCAAAGTTTATTTAAACAAAGAAGACACTGCAATTAACAAAGGTGGGACTTCTTTATCAAACAAAGTTCATTTTTTTTTTCTTGAGATGAAGTCTTGCTCTGTTGCCCAGGCTGGAGTGCAATGGTGCCATCTTGGCTCACTGCAACCTCCGCCTCCTGGGTTCAAGCAATTCTCCTGCCTCAGCCTCCCAAGTAGCTGGGATTACAGGCATGTGCCACCATGCCTGGCCAATTTTTTTTATTTTTTCTTTTTAGTAAAAACACAGGGTTTCACCATATTGGCCAGGCTGGTCTTCAACTCCTGACCTTGTGATCTGCCTGCCTCGGCTCTGAAAGTGCTTGCTGGGATAACAGGCGTGGGCCTCATCTGATCTCATCTCATCTTATGAGATGGGTGGATCAGAAGACAGGAAGACTGTGCCCAGCTACAAAGTCCATTTTTTAAAATGACATATTAATTACGCTTGTTTTTTGAAGGAAAACTGACATTTATGACTAAAATTTTTTTAATAGAAACCAAGCCAAACAGAAACTTTACTCAAAACTGCATGCCTATGTTATTTATTACTCAGGCAAATGCTATTTTGCTATTTCATTTTATACATTTTTTTTTTTGTTTTTTTGAGACGGAGTTTCGCTCTTGTTACCCAGGCTGGAGTGCAATGGCACGATCTCGGCTCACCGCAACCTCCGCCTCCTGGGTTCAGGCAATTCTCCTGCCTCAGCCTTCTGAGTAGCTGGGATTACAGACACGTGCCACCATGCCCAGCTAATTTTTTGTATTTTTAGTAGAGACGGGGTTGCACCAGGTTGACCAGGATGGTCTCGATCTCTTGACCTCGTGATCCACCCGCCTCAGCCTCCCAAAGTGCTGGGATTACAGGCTTGAGCCACCGCGTCCGGCCTTTCATTTTATACATTTTGACATTAACATTTTATACAGTCTTGACTTTGTTGTATAACTCTCTTCACTAGTTAATACTTACAGCTAATCTGTGATTATTTGCAAGACTGATCATTTGCTGGGCTAGGCCATTTAATAACCGAGTACGAAGAGACAGGTCATCTAGGTCATGACGAAATGGAAAAGCAATACCATCCACTATCACCAACCGAACCTAAATACAAAAGAGATAATATTAGATTTGGTATGAAAAATAAAATAATAAAGATGACATCCAAAAACCATCGTCCATTACATAAAAAAACCTTAAAATCTAGGGTTTTATTTCCAGCTGTCTAAAGTATGGCTTTCTTGTGGAAAGTTACAAAGCTGTTCACTCAATACCTTCTGCAATAATCACTAAAAATTAAAATTCACTCTGCTTTGATAATTTATCAACTTTAAAAAAGTAATTATTACAATTTTCTTATAACTTGCCACTAGTCTTTATTTATAAAAAGCACATTTAAAGTCCTCGTAAAACTTGTGAAAACACTTAAAGAAAAAGTCTTGTTAAAGCAACAAATTTGTCAATTAAATATACGAATTTTAACTTCAGGGTTCCTTTTATGTTTCCTTAAAAAAACCCCTACGGGCTCATGTCTGTAATCCCAGCACTTTGGGAGGATGAGATGGGTGGATCAGAAGACAGGAAATTGAGACCAGCCTGGTCAATATGGCAAAACCCCATCTCTACTAAAAATTAAAAAAAAATTAGCCATGCGTGGTGGTGGGCACCTGTAGTCCCAGCTACCCTGGAGGCTGAGGCAGAAGAATCACTTGAACCTGGGAGGTGGAGGTTGCAGTGAGCCGAGATCATGCCACTGACTCCAGCCTGGGTGACAGAGCAAGACTGTGAGTCAAAAGAAAGAAAGAGAAACAAAAACCCTTCAGCCTAGACAACTGAGAGAGATCTTGTCTCAAGAAAGAAAAAGAAAAGAAGAAGAAAGCAGTATTAGTTTTTATTTTGACATCACAAATAAATTTCACCAAGTAGGCAAATTCACAATTACATAATCTGTGCATAATGAAGATCTAAGTAGTTAATAGCGATTGTCTGAAAGCTTTCCCCTAACATCAGGACCAAGACAAGTATGCCTGTTTTCATCATTGCTATTCAACATTATATTAAAAGTTCTAGCCAGATCAATTAGGCAAAAAAGAGAAAAAAAGAAAGAAAGAAAGAGCATCCAAATTGTAAAGTAAAACTATCACTATTCACTAATGATAGGATTTTATACATGGAAAAACATAAAGAATACACACACAAAAAAAGGAATCATAGCCATGCACTGCATAAGCCATCTCAGTCAATGACGGACCATATTCACAACACTGGTCCCATAAGATTATAACAAAGCCTTCTATGAGGCTACTGGCTTTCGAGAAAAAAAAAATTACTGACAGAGCAGAGAAATTCCTACAGTCTAGTGGCATCATAGCTGTCATAACATCAAAGCACAATGCATTACTCAGAGTCTGTGGTGATGCTGGTGTAAACAAAGCTACTACACTGCCAGTCACAAACAAAATGTGCCGTTTACATACAATGGAACATTATCGAGCCATAAAAAGAAATGCAGTACTGATATATGCTACAAGAATAAATCTTGAAAACATGCTGATTGAGAGAAGTGAAACACAAAAGATGATAAAATATATGACACCACAGAGACAGAAAGCAGAATAGTGGCTGCTAGGGTTTGAGAAGAAAGGGAAACAGGGAGTGACTACTTAATGAGGACAAGATTTCTTTTCGAGGAGATAAAAATGTTCTGGAGGGGCCGGGCACGGTGGCTCACGCCTATAATCCCAGCACTTTGGGAGGCCGAGGCGGGTGGATCACAAGGTCAAGAGATCAAGACCATCCTGGTCAACAAGGTGAAACCCTGTCTCTACTAAAAATACAAAAATTAGCTGGGCACGGTGGTGCGCGCCTGTAGTCCCAGCTACTCGGGAGGCTGAGGCAGGAGAATTGCTTGAACCCAGGAGGCGGAGGTTGCGGTGAGCCGAGATTGTGCCATTGCACTCCAGTCTGGGTAACAACAGCGAAACTCTGTCTCTGGAATTGGCTGGGCTCGGTGGCTCACACCTGTAATCCCAGAACGTTGGGAGGCCGAGGCAGGTGGATAGCCCGAGGTCAGGAATTTGAAACCAGCCTGACCAACAAAGGTGAAACCCCATCTCTAATAAAACAAAAAAATTAGCTGGGCATGGTGGCAGGTGCCTGTAATCCCAGCTAGTCAGGAGGCTGAAACAGAAGGGCTTAAACCTGGGGGGTGGAAGTTGCAGTGAGCTGAGATCGTGCCACTGCACTCCAGCCCGGGCAACAGAGCAAGACTCTATCTCAAAAAAAAAAAAAAGTTCTGGAATTAGACAGTGATGGTTGCTTAACACTGTACATTTACTAAAAGCTATTAAACTATATATTTTGGTTAAAATGGTAAGTTTTATGCAATATGAATTTTATCTTAATTTTCAAAATTGTTCAACAAAATTTTTTTTTTCAGACAAGGTCTCACTCTGTTGCCCAGGCTGGAGTGTAGTGGTGCAATCACAGCTCCCTACAGCCTTGACCTCCCTGGGCTCAACTGATCCTCCTATCTCAGCCACCTCAGTAGCTGGCACTACAGGTGCACATCACCGCATCAGCTAATTTTTTTAATTTTGTAGAGACAGGGTTTTGCCATGTTGCCCAAACTGGTCTCAAACTCCTGGGCTCAAGTGATCCACCTGCCTCAGCCTCCCAAAGTGCTGGGACTACAAGGGTGAGTCACTGCAACTGGCCCCAAAACTTTTTATTTGAACAAAAAAAAAAGAGGGAAGAAGGTAGGGCAAGATGGACGAATAGAAGTCTCCACAGCTTGTCCTCCCCACAGGAACACCAAATTGAACAACTATCCACATGAAAAAAGCACTCTCATAAGAACCAAATTTCAGATGAGTGATCATAGTACATGGTTTCAATTTCGTATCACTGCAAAAAGCACTGAAGAGAGCAGGAAAGACAGCCTTGAATTGCCAACGCTGTCCATCCCCCAACCCCAGCAATGGCTGCCTGGCACAGAGAGAAAATTGGTATGCTTCAGGGAGGGAGAATGCAGTAATTGTGGGACTATGCATTGGAATTCAGTGCTGCCCTGTCGCAGCAGAAAGCAATACCAGGCAGAACTCAGGTCGAACTTAGGGAGGGAGCATTTAGACCAGCCCTAGCCGGAGGGGAATTGCCCATCTCAGCAGTCGCTACATGAGTTCTGACAAACCTTGCCACTGTAGACTAAAGTGTGCTGGGGTCCTAAATAAACTTGAAAAGCAGTCTAGGCCACAAGGACTGCAATCCCAGGGCAAGTCCTGGTTCTGTACTGGGTTCAGAGCCACTGGACTTCATGTCCATGTGACCTAAAGAGATACCAGCTGGGGCAGCCAAGGTAGCCTGGAGTCACCCCTCCCCTAACCCCAAGCAACACTTTGGGAGACTGAAGTGGGATGTGTGCTTGAGCCCAGGAGTTCGAGACCAGCCTGGGAAACATAGTGAGAGCCTGTCTCTACAAAAAAACAAGCAAACAAAAACAAAAAAAGAATCAAGCAGACGTTGTAGAGTTTAAAAATGCAGTTGACATACTGAAGAACGAATCAGTGTCTCTCACCAGCAGTACTAATCAAGCAGAAGAAAGAATTAGTGAACCTGAAGACAGGCTGTTTGAAAATATGCTGTCAGAGGAAACAAAAGCATAAAGAATGAAAAAGAATGAAGCAGCTGGATGTGGATAAGTGGATCGCTTGAGGCCAGGAGTTCAAGACCAACCTGGGCGACATAGGGAAACCTCATCTCTACTGAAAATACAAAAATTAGCTGGTACATGGGAGGCTGAGGCATGAGAATGACTAGAACCCAGGAGAGGGAGGCTGCAGTGAGCCGAGATCATGCCACTGCACTCCAGCCGGGGCAACAGAGCAAGACTCTATCTAGAAAAAAAAAAAATGAAGCAGGCCTACAAGATCTAGAAAATGGCATCAAAGGCAAATCTGGCCAGGTGTGGTGGCTTACACCTGTAATCTCAACACTGGGAGGCCAAGGTGGGAGGATGGCTTGAGGTCAAAAGTTGAAGACCAGCCTGGGAGACTACCATCTCTCTCTATATATATAAAAGGGCAACAAAATGAGACCCTCATCCCTCTCTATGTATATATAAAAGGGAAAATCTAGGAGTTACTGGCCTTAATGAGGAGGCAGAGAAAGAGATAGGGGTAGAAAGTTTATTCAAAGGGATAAATATGAGAACTTCCCAAACCTAGAGAAAGATATCAATGTTCAAGTACAAGAAGGTTATAGAAGACCAAGCAGATTTAACCCAAATAAGACCACCTCAAGATATTTATTAATTAAACCCCCAAAGGTCAAGGATAAAGAAAAAAAAAATCTGAAAAGGAGCAAGAGAAAAGAAACAAATAACTTACAAAGCAGTGCCTATATGTCTGGAAGCAGACTTTTCAGTAAAAACCTCAAGAGGCCAGGAGAGAATGGCATGACATATTTAAAGTGCTCAAGGAAAAAACTTTTACCCTAGAATAGTATATCCGGCAAAAATATCCTTCAAACATGAAGGATAAAGACTTTCCCAGACAAACAAATGCTAAGAGATTTCATCAACACCAGACCTATCCTACAAGAAATGCTAGAGAGTTCTTCAACCTAAAAGAAAAGGATGTTAATGAGCAATAAGAAACCATCTGAAAGTACAAAACTAACTGGTAATAGTTAAGTACACAGAATAGTATAACAATACAATTAGGCCAGTGCAGTGGCTCATGCCTATAATCCCATCACTTTGGGTGGCTGAGGGAGGCAAACTGCCTGAGGTCAGGGGTTTGAAACCAGCCCGGCCAACATGGTAAAACCCCATCTCTACTAAAAATAGAAAAATTAGCCAAATATGGTGGTAGGTGCCTGTAATCCCAGCTACTCAGGAGGCTGAAGCAGGAGAATCACTTAAACCCGGGAGGCGGAGGTTGCAGTGAGCTGAGATTGTGCCCTTGCACTCCAGCCCGGGCAACAGATCGGAGACTTCATCTCAAGCAAAAACAAACAAAACCCTACAATGTAATCATGGTGCGCAAACTACTAATATCTTAAGTAGAAAGACTAAAAGATGGATCTATTGAAAACATTAAGTT